TGGTAATAACATTATTCTATAAGAAGGTTTAACATCCAAGACTCCAAATCAATACGTGAGCTGTGAAGTTGCCAAACATGAATGTCATCCTACTTCTCAAGGGTCGATGACTCGATCTTTTGAGTAATGTTGTCTTATTGATTATATATATATATATATATATATACATACATATATATATATATACATATATATATATACATATAAGAGTTAAGGTGTAATTTTGCTTTTGAACTATTCTTAGAGGAGTAATATTATCCTTAAATTATTTATCACAATAATATTGCCCTTAAATTATTTAAATCGGAACAATGTTGCCTCCACAGTTTAAACGTTTGTTAACTGTACTAATGGGACCTACTTTTCATGGGTTAAGGTGCAATTTTATTTTTAAATTATTCTCGAAAGAGCAATATTGTTCTTGCAGTTTAAAAATCATAAACGTCCATTAACTATAGCCAGTGAGACCTACTTTTTACTATCTCTCTCTATTTAACATTGAATTAGGTCATGATTTCAACTAGACTATGGCATTTCAATTGCTGAATTGATTTTTGGATAACCACTTTATGACGGTCTATGTATAGGCTTTTTTGCCTGCAATATATATGAGAGAGTATATTTATTTATGATAGTCAATTTTGTAGGTTGATTCAGTCAAGATGATAAGAAGCAACATTTTTATCTTGACAGTATTGTTTATATACTTTTTGTTGGATCAAGAGCTCCCCTTGTAGTGTTGTCAATGTGAATTTATACTTCAACTAATGTCATACTCGTCATTAAAGGAAATTAGTACAAAAATTGAGCTTTTTCTCAATGTATAGTTTACGACTCGTTAGAATGTTGATGGAGAATATCATGATATAGATAAATACTTTCACATGAATATTGAATGTTAGAAAGGATGTGAATGGACTAGAATGGCACTTGTGCAAAAAATACTTTTTATTGTTTCTCTCTAGTTATGATTTTTAAACTGCAGGAGCAATATTGCTCAGATTTAATTAGTTTAGGGAGAACATTACTCTTTTGAGAATAGTTTAGAGGCAAACTTACATCTTAACTTATGAAAAGTGAGTCCCACTAGTTACAATTATTGAACATTTAAACGGTGGCGACGATATTACTTCAATTTAATTAATTTAGGAGTAACATTGTTATAATGAGTAGCTTAGAAGTAATATTATTCCTCTAATAATAATAATTTAGAGATAAAATTGTACTTTAACCCCATATATATATATATATATATATAATAAACTGTATTATTTATAAACCATAGAAAGTATATAATTGTCAAAAAAATTAACAAACCGCGATCAATGGTCAAATTAGGTGTCAATACTCAACATTTTCTTCGTCCCGTTAAGTTCGATGCATGGAAAATAAAAAAAAAAAAAAAGACAAAATGGGTTATAACATCCTCAGACCATCAATGATACATGTTAGTTAAAGCAAAGAAAACTACAGCAGCGTGATTTGAAAAAGTCAGCAAGCTATATTCTGTAAATGATGAATGGCATAATTCGTTTTGGATTCTACATGCACAATGAATGCACTCTGGTTTAGTTTTACTTATAAAAGGTAGAAATATATGCGAGAAAACAAGAAGTACGTACAAGTCAACACGCCATAACTGAAAACACATTACATTTGAATAGAATAATTGAATTGAGTGATCATAGTGTGAGGTTTTGATTTTTCCCTGCACTCCTATCTTAAATTCTACGATCATGTGGGGCTTGTTCAGTGGGACACCTCTTTTCGTGGCCTCGTGAAATACGTCCATGTCATTCCCTGAAACACAACCCTGAAGAAATTGGGTAAATATATAAAACAAGCCGTGTGCACTCAATGCTTTGCATTCAGAGATTTATCAACTGATGAACAGTGCTGCTATGTCCCCAAGATGCATAATCATGAACTCAATCGGTTCCTAATAAGCTGGATTATCAGATGTTTGGCCTAAATGGGTTGGTGTCAAAATTTATAGTTCAACAATCTTTAATATCACTTTGAAGTTGGGAATATAGCAAGTTCTCAATCACACTAATGATCTCATGGTCATAATTGCCTCATCATGCGTATTTGACTTTGATTGATTATCGATCGATTGAATGAGGTGAGCTGTAACGATGTTAAAATGAGAATCATTCAAAGTTGAAGCGAGCCACAAAAATATTAGTGGAAAAGTGAGACTGAAGAAGAAATATATTTAAAAAAATTATTAGAATATTTGTGTATTGGCATTAATCAATTATAAATTTGAACCAATATAATATTATGAACATAAAGTAATTTTTATATTATATTACGTATTATTTTGAAATGAATTGAGTCTGACTGAATAGACTATAGTATGTTAAAATATTCAACTTGGATATACCAGAAAAGACTCCAACCTACAAAATATATATTTAATCAATTATTCCATTTAAAATTAATAGAGACATTATGATTATTGTGTTTTTTAACTGTCTGACCAGCAACAATTTAAGTTGCCCTGCTCTTGCAAGTGCTCACATGCTTGCCTTCATTTTGTTGCAAGTGAGTTGTCTCCTCTCTTCTAGAACTCTTTGCGCCAATATTTAGATCTGGGACTTTTATGAACCTTAGGATGCTTCAAGGTTAACTCATTTCAGCATTATCTTGTTTCAAAAGTATTATGAATTAATGCAAGGTGGTTCCTGTTGCGTTGCATTAATTCAGTGAAAGTCTGGTCGACCAGTGAGGAAAGAGATTAATCAATTAAAGAGATTGAGAATGGGGGATCCAAGTCCAAAAGAACACATTGAGTTTGGAGGGACACAGAAGACCCTTTGATCTCTCTGTCGAGCTCCAAACAAAACATGTTCACTTTCCTACCTTTTGTTCGTGTTGCTGTCTTTTACTCGTGCTTCATTTGAAATCTTATTTGATTCACAGAAATAACACATAGCTGATTTTTGAGTGAAGGAAGACTCCGTTGATCAGTAATCATTCTTTTTTGTCCATCGCCATGGATTTGTACAGGAAAGACGTTAATATTGAATCAATCAGCTTTAGTCTTAGCAGAGACGAAGAATGAAATTGGTTGGAAAAGATAAAAGGGGGCAAAAGTAAAAATTAATGCAAAACTATAACGTCTTAGCCAGCATACGTTTGTCAACGTGTAAGAAAATTTAGAATAATAATTTGCTTGAAAATGAAGGTAGTATTTTATTTTTGAAAAAAAGAACTAGGAGAATAACTAAAATGGAATATGCTGTACGATTGAAAAAACTCCGAAGGATTTGCTGGATTCTTGGAGACGAGCTGTTTCTGTAGGGGAGTAAGGTATATGATACCCAGGCTGACACAGGAACAGTCAATGCCACGTAGAACAAGAAGAAAGAAAGCAGGGGGAAAAAAGTCAAAAACAAAGGGAAAGGAGAGCAAGACCGAAAGTGAAGCAGAAACAGCGATTGTGATGGTGTATCACTCTCAATCTCATACGTATATATATTTATAATAAAAGAATAATCACAAGAGAGAAATCCCAGAAGCACAACCAAATAATAATAGACATCAGTCCTTAAAAGGATGCCCGCATATATGCAAGTAGGAGTAGTGATGTCTGCATGCTTCTTCCTCCCACCTGCAACCTGCAAGCTTTCAACTTCCGTGGGCCTACCTATTATTTCAAGTTGAGTTGCATTGACTTTTTTTTTTTTTTTAAAAGAACGGTTTCTCCCTTGGGCCTTCTGTGTGTGATTTGCTTTCTATATGTTGATGTAGGCCCGAGTCTGAATTGTATAGTACTACCTGTTTAATAAATTTGACTTTGGTTAAAGGAAAAAGGATGCCCGCGGGCCACTTATACGAAAAGATACCCAAATGTGTTGATGGGCTGGTTCATCTTCCACATTAAAATTTTTTATAACCCAAGGGCGTTGAAATTAGAATCTGATGAGATACGACTTGATTTTGTTTCTTTGAAAGAATCCATCCATTGGTCACTCCTTACTTACTACCTCCGTTTTAGTTGTTGGAGAAATTTGTATTTTTTATAAATAAAATTATATATTTCAATAAGTATTTACTATTTACATTAATAATAAATAATTAATGTATTTTTTGTTTTGCAGAGTAGTCTAATTTTTTATTTTCAAACACAATTCTTATAATTAATTTTTTTAATTGTGTAATATAATTTTTTTATAAAAATGGGGAGTATTATTGGGTAGTTGAGGCCATTCATTACTCTCGATTCATTTATTTTAATTATTATTCAAATATAATTTTTTAAATAATACAGTAACAGTAGTAATACACTGATATTAAATTTAAAAAAAGAAAGGAAGAATGGGACTGGATCCGCGTCAAAAGGGAGCGCACAGTACCTGACTTTCCGTACTATGGGATGGTAAAGGTCAAAGGTATTGTCGGACGAGTCGTTACCTTGTCCGCGAAGTTGTCTTTGGGTTCGTGCGGCTCTCTTTTTCTTTTTTGTTCATAACTTTTAAATTTAAATAAAAATGTCATATTAATCAAAACTCTCGCTGATGGAATTGTACTATACCATTGTCAACCGCAGTTTTATTGATATTTTGGGATGCTTTTTTCATATTTGTTTAGTATGATTATATATTTTAAAATCTGAACTCAAAATTAAAAAATAAGCTAATTTAATCCTTTCAATCAGTTTAATTAAATGCCCTCAGTAAAATAAATAAATAGTTCAAACTGTTAAAATTCAACTTATTCAATTTATAACTGCAATAAAAATTTAATAACAATTTTTTGACAAAGTAATTAAATTTATTGATAAAAGAATAAGTAAACATGAATTATTGATTTTATACTATTTAGGGTGGAGATGAAATGAGAAAAAGAAAAAGAAAAAAAGAAAAAAAGAGCAGGGTAGGTGCGATTTCCGGGAATCTTGGCTTTCAAGGAGCCTCAAAAGGAAAAGATGAAGACCCCAGGACGAATGACTCACTTGTCACTCTTTATATATGCGAGAATAGGTGTGTTGCAGAAGTGTAAAAGAGTGGTCGAAGGCTGTAAGGTTTGAGAGAAGTGAGAATGGGGAATCCGAGAGAGAAGGAACACATTGAGGGGATACGGAGGAAGAAGTTCTCGATTGGAGGGCCAGAAAACCCGTTGATCCCAGACCTTCACGAGGCAGTCAAGAATCTCTCCGCCGAGCTCTATGCCAAAGATGTTCACTTTCTGATGGAGCTCATTCAGGTATTTCATCATTCCTCAATCCCTACACCTCCAATACAATATGCTGCTCCGGAGGCCTAGTTCGCCGATTTAGTTTTTGAGATCACCCTAATCTCATATTCTTCCAATTTTTTTATAATATCAAATTTGTGGGTCCAGCAAGGTTTTCACTTCTTATCGCATGGGGAGCACTAATGAGCAAGGTTCAGTAGATTTAAATACTTTTTTTATTTTTTTAATATAAAATTTAATAAATCTATTAATAAATGACATGTACGTTTCATATTAAATCATATTATCTAAATTTAATATTATTTTTTTATATTTTTTATAAATTGATCTTATGTATTTATTTTGAAATATTTTAAATATGATAATATAATAAGTTAAAAGTTTTGAATCTGAATAACATAAAGTAAATTTGTATGATTAATTTATAAAAATATAAAAAAATTAATATTAAATTTGGATTGATATGATTAAATATAAAATGTGTATATTGGTAATTTAAAAATTTATTTAAAATTTTATAAATTTTTTATTACAAAAAATAAAAAACATTTAAATTTAAACAAAGGTTAATATATAATTCGAATTATGAACTAGACGTTTGGGGACGATTTAAACCTTATATTTGTAATTAATATATTTTACACCATAAACAATTAAATTTAAGATATTTTTATCCTTATCGTTAGATTAGTCCAACATTGATTGTTAGATGAGGGGAGAAAAAAAAAATTTGACTAGAATTTGTCTACCTGGCATGCCAAGTGTGCATGTCAATATTTTTTTTAAATAGAAACTGAAACTACCAAAACAAAACTAAAATCAACAACAAAGTCTTTAAGCTACATTACACAACATTTTCTCGTAATCCACCAACTCCCTGCATAAAGTTGGGGGATCATTAAAAGAGCAAAAGTTACGATGAAGGATATGGGCTAGGGGCTTCTAATATGTCCTTCTTTAATGCCTTTTCAATTTTATTTTTTGTTTTTCTTTGAATCATTGAATTCTACTTAAAATAAGAGACATCTAAATATTTTGAAGTCTCAAAATGGTGAAAATTTATATTTTTTATGATTTTTTAAAAATAAAAGGGTATAAGTCTAATATTTTTCTTTAAAAAATTGTAGAAAATACAAATCTTCACAATTTTGAAACTTTTAGATATCCAGATGTCTTTTATTTTAAGTAGAATCAAATGATCCAAAGAAAAATAAAAATAAAATTAAAAATTTAGGGCATTACAATGAATATTAGAAAAGGGCACATTAAAGACCCCTAGCCCGAAGGACATGAGAGAGTTTAATAAGGTGGTGAGTACATTGGATAGTTTCCCAGCAAGAATATTAAAAAGAGATTTGCCAATTCCTTTTGAAAAAGAGTCTTGCTAATTCAATGATGTTCCTAAAGGATGGTTGGCATTGATTACTCCTACAATAAGTCGAATGGCTTCAGCACAGTCGAAATGCACCTTAATACTTTGCAACCCCATTTGTGAGCAAACATTGAGGCCCTCTATTACTACAATAACTTCTGTTATAGCTATTGAAAAATCACTAGTTTTACAAGTAAAACCTCTAACCCATTCACCTTTATTATCTTTTATAACCCTTCCACAAACAGCTTTACCATTAGTAAGAACAGATTTATCAATATCAAGACGAAAGTACCCTTCTTAAGGGGGTTTCCACTTAGTTCTAATATGGGAACTATGACCATAAAGGGGGGGAATTACTAAGCTTGTAATCAGCACAGGCTTTGCAAAAAACTATTAAGAATATTAGATGCAACCTTAGACTCCTCTTTATCAAATATAAATTTGCACCTACTACACCAAATATCCTAGCAAATATATCCAAAAAGAAAATTCCAAGGTATCTTTTGAGTGAAAGCTCATCCCACTTAATGTTTTACATTACAAGGCAGCCAATCCTAACCTTAAAGACTAGAGCTGGAAAAACAGGTTGAGCTTGCAAGCTAGCCTGTTCAACTCGCAAATTTTGATAGGTTGAGTTGAAAAAATTAGTCCATTTTTTAAAATGAGCTATGCTAGCCCAACCTACAAAAATGACTGGTTAAAATGGGCTAGCCCGCGGGTTAGCCTATTTTTTAAAAAATAATTTATTTTTTCAATTATAATATATCTTCTTATAAATCTACAATAATGATTATATTTCTCAAATTTATAATTTATGAGTCACAATCATGTTCTTTACATTTAAAAGATAATGTAAATATTTCTTACAATTTGCAAATAAATTTTTATTATAGTTTATAAATTAATTATTTATTAGTTTTTATATAAATATTTTGAATATATATTATTTGTTATCTCATAAGATCTATTGATTGAAATTACAAATATAAATTTGTTGATAAAAATGATTTAGATTTATATTCAAATTTTATTTTAAAAAAAAAATGAGAAAAATTATTATCTATATATATGATATGTTGATTATAATTTTTAAATAATTTTAAAAAATAAAATCACATTTTGCGGGCTGGCCCACGAGCTTGCTAGCTTATCAATGTACGGGTTGGGTTTTTTAGCCTTTTTATCTTGGCGGGCTGACCCAACCCAATCCGCTAATGTGCTAACCCGTGCGGGTTAGCTCGCGGGCTGGCCCACAATCCCTTTGCATAGCTCTATTAAAGACTCATGAATTTATTGCATAAATTAGGTTTGACAAGCATTTTCCACTTCGCCAATGCATTTTGGTAATCATGAAGCAATTATAGATTCTCCTGATTGGCATCCTAACAGGCATTAAGCAGAGCTAGTAAGTCCTCTTTTATGCTTAAGTTCCACCGTATGCAAACGTTCTTGAGTAATTACCCATATAAAGGTTCTCAATATTTTCAAATAGGTGCCTCGTTGCTTGAAAAAGAAGAAAAAGAAGAAGCAAACTTCACCGTACAACATCATGATTCTTAGTTTTAGGCAAACGCAAAGGCCAAGGGTCTCCTTTTAGTATTCTTCCCTGAAGATGCCTCCTTTATCACCGACAAACCTAAGCCCCTCTCTTTATCACCTTCTTCTTTGCCTCCCTATTCTTCTTTCTCCCTCAAGAGACACAATTCCATTCACATTTTCTCCATCGCTCAATGCATCATTTTTGCCTATACTCTCCTTCTCTTTACTACTCCCATCCTTTTCACTCTATCCACCATTAAACCAACTGTCCATCGTCAATTTTTGTCGCAAAAATCCCCTTTAATTCACAATCCTACTATAGAAACCTTTAAAGAATGGATATGCTAAAATGGGCGCTGTGTTTGTGTCAGATACATATCTGACACGGACACTTGTCCTACATGCGGATGTAATGTGTCCTCTTTTCTCTTTGTGAAACTACCAGGCATGGGTAGCTACCAGCAGACACGGGCAAGACATGAAACACATTGTTTTGGGCATTTTTTTTCCTCAGAATAGATGCCCTACTTCACGAGATGTCGACCAATCCCTTTCATTCCTACATCCCTCGCCTAACTCATGTCACTCTGTCTTTGACCTAGTGATCGTCCATTGTCGCCGACTGCTGTCCTTCCCTCCTTCGCTGTCGAGCTCAAGCAGTGTCTCCTCCATTGCTCTGTCTCTTTAAGCCATCGTTGCTCTGTCACTCTCTATGTCTGCTTTAGTCACTATTTTAGTGTCTTCCTTAGCCATTGTATTGCTCTCTATCTCTCCTCCTCAATCATGACTTAGCAAGGCAATATTCTTGAGCTTGGTTGCTATTCTTTGTTATTATGTGGACAGAGCTGATTGGAGAGCAAATAAAAAAAAGTTTTGGTTTCCTCTTTCATCCATTGACTTTAATTCTATCCTCTTTCATGATCCTATTTTAAAAAATGTTTGGTTTTCTTATGTTTAACGCATTTTGTAGTTTTTGTTCCAATTTCCCTCTCTTCTATTTCTTGTCTGCTAGTACATTAGTTGATGGATACTGGATAGTTTTGTAGCTACAATTATGGCAAAGCTTGAATTTAGATAATTTTTATTATTTTTTTAATTTTTTATTAGCTCTCTTCAGATTAAAATATACAAAAAATTATCTATAAATTTTTAATATTTATTAATTCAAGTTGATCATTATTTATTGTCACTTGATAGTACTTAATTATTTAATTATTTATATATTTGTATCTAAATATTTAATTATTTATATAATCATACTTATATCTTAAAATTTTTAAAAATTACCGTATCCATATATCATATCATATTATATTCAATACTCGTACCTATACCGGTGCTTCATAGATAGAAACCAAACACTAAGGAATGGTTCTCCAAATGGGGAGGGCCTAATTCGGTAACATCAAAAAAATGTTCCCACGAATTCCGCCACCAAATTGTGAATAATCAAACCTGACAACCTCAGATATTTAGACTAGTGTTTTGTGGACATAAAAGTTTGAGACTTTAGAGAGAGAAAGGAGGAGAGACCTTATGCAAGAAAGGGACGAAGGCGGAATGTAGGAATCTTCATTCTTGCGTTGTTTTTCTTCGACATTCAGAACAGCACATTGGGTTCCGTTATTAGTTGCAGACCTCATCAGCCATCACCGACTATCACAGACGATGGCAAAGCGAGAGAGAGAGGGGGTTTTGGAGGGGTGGGTGTGAGTATGAGAGGCGCTTGGTTTCAGAGTGCTGATCATTTTATGAGCAATTTGGATCGCTCAGATTAAAGGGTCCAAATTTTAAAATTTTATTTTTATATTTAGTATAATAAATTATAAAATTTTAATAAATCTATCTTGTTATGAATCTAGATAATACAGATTTAATATGAATGATTTAATTTGTGTTTAAAATATTTTTATAATTTTTATAAATTAACTATCTAGATATATCAGGACCATCTAGATTTAATAATACTTTTTAAAAAATTTTTATAAATTTTTATTTTAGTAAATATGATGTTAAAAAATAAAAAATAAAGATAATCTTTAAACTGACAATTTAAAAAAAAACTAAGATAAAGTTGCAACTTGAAAGTTCAAATCCAAACCATTCAGAGTATATTTAGATAGTCAATTATAAAAATTTAAAAAAATTAATATTAAATTAAAGTATTCAAATTAAATCTGTATTGTCTAGATTAATGATAAGTTAGATTTATTAAATTTTTATAATAAATATAAAATAAAAATAAAATCTTAAAATCAATGTTTTAAAAC